CCTCTAATTCTAGCACTGGGGAAATTGAGGCAGGAGGATCACAAATTTAAGATAGATGTAGGCTAGATGGTAAGACCCTATTTCCAAAAAAGAAAAGAAAGTTTCTGAAAGTGTTTTGGATTTCCATCATTATGAAAGATCTGTTAGGATGTATTTATTTTCATTTTTATTTTTTTCCAGTCCTGGGGCTTGAACTTGGGGCTTGGACACTGTCCTTGAGCTTCTTTTGCTCTAGGCTAGAACTCTACCACTTGGGCTACAAGTGCCACTTTTGGCGTTTTCTGTTTATGTGGTACTGAGGAATCAAACCCAGGGCTTCATGCATGCTAGGCAAGCACTGTACCACTAAGCCACATTCCCAGCCCTAGGATATAGTTTTTACTTGTCAACACTTTAAATATTCTGGTCACCCATTTGTAACACTTGCAAAGGCTTTAAAATGGGAAGTGTGTCAAAAATTGAAAATGGGGGGGCTGGGAAGGTGGCTCAGTGGTAGAGAGCTCGCCTTGCATGCTTAAGGCCCTGGGTTTGATTCCTTAGCACCACATAAGCAGAAAAAAAAAGCCAGAAGTAGTGCTGTGGCTCAAGTGGTAGAACGCTAGCCTTGAGCTGAAGAGCTGAGGGACAGCGCCCAGGCCCAGAGTTCAGGCCTATATGGCTAGGCCTATATGAAAATGGGCCTATATGGCTAGAAACACAGAGAATACTAGCATCAGATGAGACAGGGAAGTCAAGATATACATAACTTTATGGACAATGTTAAGAAAAGTCAGGCACAAGAAAAAAAGAAAAGAGAAGTTAGGCATGGAGGTATCTGCCCATGGTCTCAGATACTCAGGAGGCTGGAAAATGGAAGCAGTATTGCTTGAGTTCACAAGTTCAAGACCAGGTCAACATAGTAAAACTTTTTTTCTGGTGAGGGGAGTACCTCAAATAGTGAATGTTAAAGCTTGGGTATTTATGTCTTTTGAAGATGGCATTTATTTTGTTTTTAATCTCCCCAACCCTACTCCCTCTTCTTAAAACAATTTTAACTGGTTTTACTGTTCTACTTTTATATATGCATCATATTTATATCCTCTTTTAGCCCTTTTTTAGCTCTCCCCTCTCCTGCTCTTGCCTGCTGTCCTATTAGAGCTTGTTTTACTTTCCTATCATTTATTTTCTTAATATTAGCTTATATTAATTATACAGAGGAGGATTCTGTTACATTTC